TGTTTTCTTCCTCGCACGACTTCCTTGTGGAATCGATTACCATCAGCGATTTTTCCGGACCGATACGACTTAGGGACCTTCAAGAAAAGAGCGTACTCCTTTTTAAAAAGCCGGCAACGCATCTGCAATTCCCTCCCTGGTGTTGCAGTTGTTCATGGGCGGCGGTAGTCACTTACCATCAGGTGAGCCGCATGCTCGTTTGCCCCCTCTCCTACAAAAAAAAATCATTATATATTTATGTATTTTCCCTTTTTGATGGGTTTTATACCTCAAAACAAATGGTGTTTGCACTGCTGTTTTCTGGTCGGAAGCATGTAAAGGAGCCAGTATAATTAGAGTCTGTGAAGCAATCGGTTTGATTCATCAGGTGTGGCTACGCATCCGTAGCCATCTTTATTTGAAGTTGGTTGCATGTGTGTAGTTACCACCTGGTGGATTGTGAGTTCGTTTGTCACTTCAGTTTTTTTTTAAGAAGGCTGTAATGTTTATGATCATGATGATAAACCGTCGTATAAGATTCCATGACATAAGTTCATGTCAGTTTCTTTTGACTAATATAACCTACATAAAGATCCAGTGTTAGAGTAAAGAATAATCACAATGTGACACTAGTTTCGAAAACCAACAACATTGTAGGAATTCACCCGCTTAGTTGCTCCAGCTTGACGTATTTAGCTTATATGCGGCATTTCAGTATAAACCTGAAGGAATCGCTTTCTTTACTTAAAGGAGTTGCAGGATTTCATAAACTTCAGTTTCTACTTACAATAATGTGGACGGTTTAACATTCTATTATAAAAATTAATAAAATGTTACAAAGAAAGTAAAATTTACAGTCTATATACGTACAGCTGGGCACAGGTCTCCAATTTCTGAGAGATTTTAGGATAACTAGTCCGCCGCTATGCTCTAGTGCGTTTCAACATCATGTCTATTTCATAATAAATATAAAATAGTAATAAAAATACGACTACTTTAATAATATTACCATTATATTATTGATGGTACTTTTTACGTGTAAGCTTAGATCCACCTGTTGTAATATCATATACGTACGTACACACGTTTAGATATTTTTAATGTAATATCCAAGGACTTCTATGTTTAAGGACTTTTCTCATTTTATAACGTCTTATCGCGATTATGTCGTCATATTAGATTGAACACATAATTTTTGTTTTCTTTTGTCTAATGGAAGACAAACACATTAACTGAAATTTGATCTTACAGAAAGGGGCTTTGTTTTTTATAAGGTTTAAATATAGCAGACCTCGAAAAATAACGGATGCATATCACATATAGTGCCGTAATGAAACGATTATATTCGTTCCACGACTGGGCACAGACTTCATATATTTTTAATTTTTGTACTTTATTTTATTTAGGTAATCATGTAGCGTTTTTATCATATTAACAATACATAAAATAATACAGTAAGGCCAATAGAGAAAACACACAGAGGCGAAAAAGAGAAACGGCAACAGAAGATTGGTTTTACTGATAACAACTAAAAATAATAAAAAAATGCCGTTGTTAATCCACCTACCAAGCTTGGCAACTACTTCAATATCCCCCATATGATGCATTCTATGAAAGAAGCCTTTGTTTAATAATGGACTTTTGATAAGATGTTATGAAAATGTTTAGTTTCAAAATCATCCCGTATTTATGCTACGAGTATGTCATCCCGGGGGTACTGTACGAGGCGACTTAGAGAAATGGCTGGAAGATATCGTGTGGCCTCCGATAGATAATGATGTAATCATTTCGTATTTATACCAGATGTATAATATCTAGACACAAGTCACAAACGTCTGCTAAGTTGGCACTTATACCAGGCTCTTGTCCAGCTTTGGGCAATCATTTTAGAAATTAAAACAAGGCATGGGATAAATTGGGTTCTTATAAAGTAGTAAAAACACAATAGTGTTCGTTTTCAATTTTAAATGGAGCTGCACGCCAGTAAAGGCGTAAATTGGTTCAACTAACTGTTAAATTGGAAAAAGAATTTACGAAAGTGCCAAGAGTTTATACAAGGAAAGTTAATTGAAAGAAAAAGTGTTTATTTCTTCACTTTTATTCTTATAATGCTACGTAATTGGAATAAAGTATAAAGTTCTTTGTATCTCGACAACAGCGCCACTTGACGGGACCAACTCAAACACACAAAAAATTCATCACCATTGGTCCAGCTACTTAGGAGGAGTTCAGTAACAAACAAACATACGGAAGAGCTATATTTACTAAACAACAGCGCTACATACCGGGTCAAACTGTGGATCTAAACCGTCCAGATTTTCACTCAAAGGCTTCATCAAAATCAGTCGAGATTTTTTGAGTTTTTGCGAGACTAACGCACACTATTGATTTTTATATAATATAGAAGATAAGACATTTAAAATGCTTTTGAGAGCATGTAAAGTCCACGTATTTAGGTATGGCGAATTATTACCTGCTTCATGAAACCAAAGAAATAAAGAGTAAGCCCAGCTGTGGGGCGTATGTGGGAGAATGTTACATACTTAAATTTTTGTGATATAAGTCAAATAAGAATATTGACCTAAGATTCCTAATATCAATTTTATTTCTAATCATTTATATTCTTAATAAATTATTCTAACTAACCACGCTATGGCAATGTAAGAGAATGTCGTATAGGTAACATCTGAAGAATGTTGTAGCCTCTTTAAGAAAAGGGTAAGGGTACAAATATGTCATTTATCAGGTGTTAATTACTAGACTAGATATACCGTATAGTGGCGGTGTAAGAATATCCACTACCCTATACCATCCCGTAAGTGTCGTAAAAGGCGACAGGAGACAAATCAGGAGATGGACAGCATCGTCTTTTTTTTAAAGGATAGGGTGACAAACGAGCACATAGTCCACCTGATGGTAAGTGGTTGCTGTGGCCCATAGACATCTACATCTATCTTTGTTTGCGAATTAAATTGCAGATGCGTTATCAACTGTGAGGACTAAGATAGAATGCCTCTTTTCCAGTAAAAAAGGGTCTCCGGTTCTCTAAAATCTTCCTAATAACGACCAAAAATCCAAAACTGCAGTTGCCAACACGCTTGCTAAGCGTGGCAACTATGGCAAATATACCCCCTCTGATGCAATTTTTTTCTATTTCTGAGAGTAGCAGTTTTCCTTCACCAACGAGCATGTGGTAAATCAGCACTTAAAATTTCAATTAACAATTTCATTGGTGCCGGTGGGGATCGAAACTGGGCTGCTCGCGTCCTGTGAAATTTACAGTGAGCGCTAAGCCCCTGAGCTACGCTGCTACGGCTCCACGGTTAATCTAGTATATACATATGTGTATATAACTTTATATTGGATGTTAGATTTAAGAGAAATAAGACAGAACAGCAGCTAACCATACCAAGAATTTTCATAAGCAAAATACACATAGCCTTATATCAAGCAACTGCGCTTACTTATTATTTTGCGAAATGATTTTTATTTTTTAGATTAAATATGTTATACTTCAGGAAAGGTCCAATATAAATTGGAAGAAACTATTCCATGGAAATGAAGATTCTAATTTACCTATTTAAACGGCAATCTATTTGTCACCTTAATATATTACTTAAACTATTTAAAAGGGTAAAATTATAAATTTAAAAATTTATAATAAAATTAAAAATTTTACTACTTAAAAATTTAAAATTTCAATAAAACGTAGAAATTATTATGTTTTTAATTTTTGAAGTTGTTTTTTTTGGTGACAAACGAGCACACAGTCTATATGATGGTAAGTGGATGCTGTGGCTCATAGACATCTACATTTATCTTTAATCAAGAATATAAATGCAGATGCGTTGTCACCTCTGAGGACTAAGATGGAATGTTTCGTTTGCAGTGAAATGGGTTCTAGGATCTGTACACTCACCATACGAAACACAGCAGCATTAAGTTGCTATTTTACGCTGGTATTCTATGAGATCGCGGTCCTCTTACGATCGAGCTGACCTATTCCTGCTACAACCACAATATAGCTGCAGCGAAGCTCTTCCACGTCAAAAGTTAGTTTTTAATAAAAATTTAACTATCCGCATACCATAAAGCGATACGTTACCTAAAAAGCATAAAAATGGAACCTTATAGCACATTTAAGCGTCAAATGAACCGTGCATTGTGACCTATTTTCCATAGTTTAGTTTTGTTATGCATTGCCCTGTCACACTTATGAACACCAAAGCGAATATTCTGCTATTTGTGCCTTTTTCAACGTTCCTTTTATAGATAAATAACAAAGTTCATTTTTTTATATTTAACTGAATCATGTTTAGTAAAATATATTATTAATCTAAAGATAAGTTAATTAAATTAAAGGAGAAGGAGATGTCTCCATATATTATTGGGCCCAGTTGTTAACACGATGAAATTGGGACTATTTGAAAGCTTACTTATAAACAATTCATAGCTGAAAATCTGGTAACATTCGTCAATTTAGAAGCTGATTTATTTATCGTAGAATAAGTAAATGTGAAGTTATATAATGTGAGGTAATGTAATAACTTGAACATACAATTATATTTAAATAAAACAAGTTTTACGGATTTTATCGCGTATATTAATTTATTTTATATTCCCGACGTTTCGAGCACTTTACAGCACCCATGGTTACAGGGGGGACTGAGGTGTTTGGCTTCCCAGTGTCATTGTTAACCACGTCTACCTCCAGATTAAAATTATTAATTTTTGTTCTGATCTACGCAGTATGTACTTACAGTATCTTGTCTTGTCTTGTCTTGCAGTTTTATGCTTGGGTTGGAATTTTATTTTATTAATTATAGGATCCCAAACAAATGGTAGCACCCAGCCATCTTCTCTATTGAAATTAGGATATTTTTTTATTTCAATAGCCTCGCGAATCATCCTTGGCAGGAATCGGGTGTTCTTTAGCGAGGATTTGTGATCTATCAAATCTAATGTAGTGACGGGGGTGATCATGTACTTGTTCACAGACTGCAGACTTCCAGATTATTCACATCCGCTATGTGTTCTTTAATGCAGACTTTCATGGATCTTTTAGTTTGTCCTATATAAGAGAGACCACATTCACAAACAAACTTGTAAACTCCTGCATCTTGCAGAGGAATATTACACTTGACTGATGGTAAAAACTGACTAATACTAATACTAATAATAAGACTAACTTCTTCGGCGGCTCAAATATTTTTTAATGAAAGAACGCTTCAAGATGATTTATGGTACGTCTATTTATGGATATTAAATCATAATAGTCTGGGATGACAGGGTATTCTAATTTTTGATTCTTAATCGATCACACAGATGATTTGCAACATCGAATTACTACTGTATGCTAGTTTGTAAAAGTAAAAATATTACTTATATAAAGAAAACATGATAACGATACTTAATTCTATAAATTACAATGGAATAATATTCATACATCTAATAAGCAGTGCGTGAACTATTATATATTATTGCACATTCAAAAAAAGTCTAAAAGAAAATGGAATATTTAATACATAATTCGATTTTACAATGAACTTTTTGAAAGAAACGCCCCAACTTTGCTTTAATAAGCTTAGAGCTTCAAAAAGCTATCATAGTTTTATTTTAGGGTAACTACGGAAAGCGAAGTAAGAAAAAAAAGTAAAGAAGAAGAGGTAAATATTTTAGATTCAATAATATTTCACAGGAAGAAAGAAGGAGATTAAAATATTGTTTTAGCAGAGCTTGAATATCAAGTTTTTATCCATGGTGAATGGTAAAAGATCATTCATAATTATGAGGCAGTATATTTGTACAAATACTTTGTTAGTATTAATATGCTATTTAAAAGAAAAATCTACTTAAATTAGGCTTCATTTATTTTAGTATGTGTTTATAGGAGTTATATGTACACACACACACACATCCCTTCTTGAATATTTATCCTCTCTCCGCGATAATGAAAATGCCTATTTAATGTGCCCCAATATCGGACGCGTTATCATATCGTAAATATTTATGGGAGCGCAGTGTTAGGTTAAGATTAAATCTCACGTACAGCCCACCACATTTTATTTGGACTTGATCAGAATAACCAAATAATATCTTTTTTTTATTTTTAAACTGAGGTTATAAGAAAAAAGTAGTCTTTTTATATGCATCGTCAGTCATCAGTCATTCAAAGTCTTTTGTTAGATAGCCTTCTGCTATACATGTGATTTTTTTTAATAATAAGGGTTACAAACGAGCACAGTTCACCCGACGATAAGTGGATGTTGTAGCCCATAGACCTCTACATCCTTACCATATCTTCAATTAAGAATCAAAATGCAAATGCGTTGCCACAAATGAGGACTAAGTTAGAATGCCTTGTTTCCATTAAAAAGGGTGTCCAGTTCTCTACACTCACCATACGGAACACTGTTATTCTGTGAGAGCGTGGTTCTCCTCCGGTCGAGCCGACCCATTGTGCTACAACCATAATAAAGCTGCAGAATGGCTACCACTTAGGACTTCCACGTAACGTTTCAGCGGTTCTGCCTCTCTATAATTTGTTATATTAATTAATAACCATTTCATCCACAACAGGCCTCCACCATAGATTTTTAGGGATTTTTTTGCCATAGTCGCCACGTTAGGCTGGCGGGTTATCAACTGTAGTGATTTTATTTTATTGATGTTATTAAGAAGACGATGCTGTTCATCTCCTGATTTGTTTTCCTTTTTTGCCTCTTTCAAAACCCTCGGAACGGTAGTGGATACAGTCAGTCATCAGTTGTCACCTACCCAGCAACAATCTTCTGCAGTAGTGAGTTCTCTTCCCCTCTGTATTTGCTCATATAAATTTCAAACTATTCCATCCAATACAGCCTTTCTCTCTCTCTCTCTTTTTCTCTCTCTCTCTTTTTCTCTCTCTCTCTCTCACACACACACACACCAACAGTCCACTACTAAATATAGGCCGTTCGCATAGATTGCCTCACAGGGGGGATTTAGCCGTAGCAACCCAAGCCCTTGGCAGGTAATTTTTATAGTTTTGAGTTGTTATTAGGAAAATACTGGACTCATCTTCTGCTTCAGTTTTCCTCTATCACCTCTTACGATTATACGGTAGTGGGTATTCTCATACCACCACTAAACGATTATTACTTTTAAGTGCTTAATTTAATTTCAACATTGTTTTACTATGAATATTATCCACTTGTAGTACATAGTATCATCATCGTCATCATCATCATTATCTTCATTACAACCCATCACAAGTCCACTGCTGAACATAGGCCTCCCCCAAGGAATGCCACAAAGCACGGTCTCGAGCCACCTGCCTCCAGTGGCTTCCCACATGTCTTACCTGGTCGTCACTCAATCTAGTAGGGGGACGTCTACACTTCGCCTGCCGGTACGAGGCTGCCACTCGAGAACCTTTCTTCCCCATCGGTTGTCGGTTCTTCGAGCTATATGGCCGGCCCATTGTTACTGCAGCTTACTAATCTGTTGGGCTATGTCGGTCACTTTGGTTCTACTGCAGATATCCTCATTTTTAAGTCTATCACGAAGAGAAACCTCGAGCGTAGCCCTCTCTAGTACATAGTATTGAACACCACAATATAAAAAGATAATATATAACACTAAAAAAGCAAGTTAAGTATACAATTGGGCGACCTTATCGTTGTATAGCGTTCTCTTTCAGACAACCAAAGACGTAAAGAAATAAAGCAGAAACAGATAGGAGGTAGGTGAAACATTTATCACTTTTAATTATAAAGGTACGTTTACCTTTAGCAGTAGTTACGCTTGGAATTACCGAATGTGAAAGAGGCGTAAAAAACTTACTCAATATGCTATATGGAACACAAACTTATCTATTCTCCTATGCTATAACATAATTTGCCTCTAAGCTTAATTACAAATTCTGAATTCTAAGCGTGAAGGGGTGACGCAAAAACGAGAGACGTTCAAACTTTCACGTTATTATAATATTAATAACGTATTATCGTTTGTTTTCTTTATGTTAGTGTGTGAATATAAATATTAATAAGAATTAACTAGCCAGTCTTTTAACTAATGTGACGGCTCCATGTCACAGTGACTTAGTTATAAGTTGCGGCGTTGCGGACTGCGGCTTTGAATCCCGCACGGAGCAAGTATTTGTATAGTCTACAAATTACTTTTTCGTCCGTACTAAACAACTTGTCCTGGTACAATTTATACGTGTGTGTAAATTGCCTCTATGATATAGGTGAATGTCCTAGTGTGAGAACAACATTTTTTTAATAAAAGAAAAAACCATGCGCGATTCCTACTCGCCTTGCATGGCAGGGGGCTGTTGATGGGCCGTGGTTTGGTCACTCTTCATAACTGCCGCGGGCGAAACGTATTTGGCGACGAAATCATAAACAAGATCCAAACACCGCTAAAGCCGGAAAGGTGGGTTGGCGTTGGTGCGACCACGGATGTATGCAAGAGTTTTTAAGTGATATGAAGCAAAGGTGTCCCGAGAATATTGTTTATCTGGTACAATCCAAATCCAAGTTATGAGGGTTCAAAAAAACGAGGAAGCGAACAGGTAGGTAGTGCTTTGTGTTTTGGTTTGGTTGGCACGTCTTGGCGGGGGCACTACCGTGCCTCCAGATATAGAGATGAAACCCTATAAGCACTGTTCAAATAATAATTCATGCTATAATAGACGAAGTATGGTAATAACACCAAAGAGAGTGCGAAATAATTTTTTTCTCGGCAGGCACTAATCATACCGAGCGCTATACCATAGGTACTTTATAGGGTGTCGTGACTTATCATTATCATACATCTAATATAAATGAAAACTCCGTTATTCTTGGTTCAATAAAGATTATCAAAAAGTGAATTTTGTCCTTATGGCTAAAGGAAAAGATAGATTTTCATAATTTTATATTACACTAACTGTTCCCCGCGAATTCGCCCGCGTGTATTTTAGGGTTTTAATTATTTTGCAAGGAAACTTAATTATTTTTCTAAAATAAAAGCAGCCTAAGTTACTCCTTATGACAACAGCTATCTGTCAGTGAAAGTCCCATCAAAATCGGTTTCGGAGATTAGCCGGAACAAACAGACCGACAAAAATTTTAAAAAGTGCATTTTTGTCATAATTACCGTTTATACTTTACTGACACTGACACTTTTTAACAGTGGTAGAGCCACGCGGCAGCGTTTGCTGTCGCACGGATGGGCCGGCTCGAACCGGGGTGGTACCACGACCTCACAGAATACCAGCGTGAAGTAGAGGTTTACCTCTGCGTTTCGCTTGGTGAGTGCAGGTGGCCGGAGGCCCTTTTTACTGGAAATGAGGTATTCCATCTTAGTCCTCACGGGTGGCAACGCATTTTGATTCGCAAACGAGGATAGATGTAGATGTCTATGGGCCGCAGCAACCACTTACCATCAGGTGGACTGTGTGCTCGTTTGTCACCCTTATCCTATAAAAAAAAAACTTAAATTTTATTTATTTGTATAGATTTACAAGATGCCAGTATTCTTTTGCTCTATGGTAGTTCATCTATGTACCACCCATAATAATGTCTTTGTATGAAGTTGGCTATAAGTGCAAAGAACTTCAAAAGCCACTTACCATCAGGTAGACTGTTAGTTAATTTATCACTTACACTTAAAAAATTTGAAAGTTGAAGAATGTGGGTGAGAATGGGTGAGTCAACCGTCAAATGCCTTTTGTACGCCGATGATCAAGTCATATTTGCATCGTCGGCGGCCGAGTTGCAAATGATGGTTACTTTAATGAATTGGTCATTGAAAGAAAGGAGTATGAAAGTGAACGCAAGTAAGACGAAAGTGATGGTTTTTGAAAGAGAAGAAAGTAAAACTTTATGTGAAATAAGAATAGAAGGGGAGTTGATTGAGCAAGTGGATGAGTTTGTATATTTGGGATGTTTATTTAGCAGGGATGGTAGATATGATAAGGATATAGAACGACGAGTGAACGCAGGAAATAGAGTACATGGGGCTCTACGCGCTATTATAAGGAGTCAAAATGTGTCAACTAAGGCACGTATGGCAATTCATAACGCTGTGTTAGTCCCTACATTAATGTATGGTAGTGAAAGTTGGGTCTGGCAGAAGAAGCATGAGAGTAGAATAAATG